ACCCACACCCACACCCACCCACACCCACCCACCCTTTTTATTATAAAGTTAAAAAAAGACATTTATCGTTTATTGAATTTCAAAGAAATCAAAAGATTCTGTTTGACACAGTTTGATTGATTCGTGGTAGTTAGCGTCATCTTTTATAAATCAGTTGTTCTGATTTAGAGCTTGGTGATATTAATAATCGTCTTGTAGTATGTCAAGACAAATTAAACGAAATGTTAACACCACAAGTACAACAACAACAAGAACAGCAACAAAGTTATGATATCCAACGAAATTTCTTGGTTATACAAACTCTTAGAATGGAAATCGCATTCTTAATGTCTAAACGTAATTTATTGGAATACGATCAACAAGAAATCAGAAAACGTCAAAGAAAAAATGCCGTGATGGTGCTGAAAATGCCGGTGTTGGTGATGGAAATACCAGTGGTGATTGATAGTCGTTTATAGACAATGTTTTTTTCGTCGTTTCCATTGAACGATCTTTTTTTTACTCATGCCTTTTGGGATCATTTTTATTCGTAAATTTATTTTTGTTATCTCAATTAGGATAAAAAAAGTTCATAAAATAAAAGAAGAAGAATATATATTTGTCATATAAAATCTAGACTTTTAATAAAAAAATCTAGATTTATTACTTTGATAATAAAATATCCTTAACAGAGACGACAATTCAACATGTTTCAGTATAACACTAAATTGAATTCAATACGAAGAATGATTTGAACTTGTTTCATTGTAATGATTAGTTTTATTATGATAATGAATATAAATGATTTTCAGGAATTAGAAGATTGATTTGTCTGTAAATATTCTTAGGTAAATTAATTTATATAAATTAACAATTTATCAGTGATAAAACAAAAAGTGAGGGTGTGGGTGGGTGTGGGTGTGCGTGTGGGTGTGGGTGTGGGTGTGGGTGTGGGTGTGGGTGTAGGTCTGGGTGTAGGTGTGGGTGTAGGTGTGGGTGTGGGTGTGCGTGTGGGTGTGGGTATGGGTGGAGTTGGGGTGTGGGTGTGAGTCTTATCTTCACACCCACACCCTACACCCCATACCCACACCCACAACTACACCCCATATCCAAACCCACACCCACACCCCTAAGAATACAATTATGTACTCTGATAAAATGATAGAAAACAAACAAACTGTTCACCATTTTAGATCCAGTTTCAAGAAGTCAGTCTGTATATCATTATAGATGATTGAAGTGAGCTTTATTGTATGTACATCAAAAGAAAGAGTTCACTATATTGCAATGCAAAAATTTCTTTGATGCCTTTTCATATTTGTCCAAGGACAGAATAGGCAACTAAGTTTTTCCGATTCAACTTCTAGAAATTTGTATATTTTAGAGATGCGCACTATTATTCATCGTTTTTTTCTAATTAAAAGTTTCAGACAAACAATCCTGTAACAGATTGTAAAGAATTTAAGAAGGAATCTTTTGAGACTTAGTACAAGTTCCTAGAACGAAAGTCAATGAAGAAAAACACGAAATACAAATGATATCATTCTTTATGACGCAGCTGCTAATTCTAGTCTATTGATGATCGCTCTTCAGCAATTCATTTCTTAGGAAATGAATAACATTCAAAGATTTCAAGTTAAACATTCATTGATTTGTCTCGAAGCAAAAAATTAAATTCATCATAGTTCTGGATAAGATAAGCACATCGACGTGAACATTGCATATAATAACATGTTAATTTAATTAATCGAATTTTATTAATGATCCTATTAATTTAAAGGACTTGTTTATATAACATTACCCATATACTACTAGAATAATTGTAAAGAAAAATGTATTTCTTTATAAACTTTGATAATACAAGAATTATTAAAATTGATCATAGTCTTCTAGAATCTTCATATTTTTGTCTTCATAGTATGAATAAGTAAAAGAACGTTTTACAGTTAGATAGAAAATATTCTATGAATAATTCTTATTAACTTAGTGTCATGTGCAGTTTTAGGAAAAAAAGATATGTCATCAGTATATTTTTTATGATATATTTATATATACAGTACTCCACAAAAGTCTCCGGCCCCCATCAATTCTTTCATAGAAAACAAAAGATCAAATATTTTAATATATTATTAAAGTTTATTTCATG